ATCTTCGGAAGACACGGAATCCCATACCTCCTTTACGATCTTGCGAAGACTATCGTGAGTACGCTGCTTTCCGCCACCCAGATTCGGACAATGATGCTGGATGTAATCCTTCATCCTATTCCAAAAAGCTTCAATCGGGTTAAGATCAGGCGAGTTGGCCAGCCAGAAAATCGGTTGAATGAGCCTCTGGCTCATATCTTCCATTGTACTTGCTGCTGTGCGGGAAGGAGCATTATCCTGCATAACGGAAAGCCAAGGTCTCATCAAGACCATGCCATTGATAAGAGAAACTATTTTCTTGCAATATTTTTGAGAGTTGTTGGATCCCCACTCCTTCTCCCAAATAAACAGGGGCATTTTTCTGGCCCTGCGAGGCAAACCCAGAACATCCGGCCGACCCTATTCGATTTTTCTCCAACACAATCAGCATTGTGTTTTTGGGAAGTCTAGCTCATAATTTTAGAGCACCAAAATACTATCTTCTTGTAGAGGAATATACAAACACTTCTTGTCACCCATTTTCTAGAATGTCTTCCGTACTCTACTCAACTTTCGTCCGTCCATAAAACTGACGTCCAGTCTTCATATGTCCAATTGAGATGAGCTTCGGCTCATTCTCTGCGTGTCTTCATAGTTTTCTGAGATACTGGAGTCTTGAGACGAGCCACATGTTGCTGACATCCTTTTTTTTTCAGTTCTCTTTGTATTACCCGCTCGCTAACACCAAGATGTCTAAAGGGGCCAGAGGCGAGTTCCAAAAATATTTTGCGGCGGTTTTCAGGTGAAGACTCAACGGAAGATATAAACTGAACAACATCATCTACTTTCAGTCTTCCGGATGTTCTTTTTCTCTTTTTGGGTGAGACATTTCCGCGGCGCAGTAAATAACTAACTTGGCCCCAAAAAATGCCCAGTTTCGCGGCAATCTGCGTCTGGTTTTTGCCAGATTCATGGGGCCCATAAATCATAATTTTTTTAATTTTAATTCGTTAATTTTAATCTTTTGCCTTCCTTAAATGTTTTGATCTCTGGATAATTGTTTGATTCGAGGTGTTGATGGTGGGGTTTGAGGTGGACTCATTTCCAAAGTAAGGTTAGTATAGAGTGAAGCCATATGCCTGCTGAATAAAAATGGGTTTATTTGAGAATTTTAAATCTAATTGTCACTCAAGCACAAGATGAGAAGAGCTGTGGGAGGGCAAGACTGAACACCTGTACGCGGTATCCTCTACGAACCTGGGAGTGAAATATTCTCCCAGAGCCAAGTTCAGTCAAATTTCGCAATATCAAAGAAGTTGGCCCACGAGGCAAAAATCCAAATTACTCATCCACTTCGTTATTTCGCTCCCAACGAGTTTGACCCCTATCCAAGCCTCATCAAGTCTACAAGTACGACCTAGTACATCCTCATTTCAATGATCACACCTCTTGTCGACTTTCTCTGGCCTCAGCTGGTCACCAAATACACGCCCACGCCGATATTTATACTCGACGAAGGACACAAAGCGTGGCGCACAAATCTGGAAGACAGTTCTTTGGGATGGACGTGAGAGGGATAAGGACAAGTTCACGAGATGATGCAGAGAATGGATACAGTCTCGACGGGCATGAATTTTCGAACTTTGGCAAGGAGTTTTTCGAATTGGGCTTTGTGCGCGCCAAGACTTCGCTTGCGAGAGTGCAGTTGACACTATAAAAACAAGCAGACGATGGAAGGTGTTGTGGTCCGGCTCCTGGTGTTGTGGTCCGGCTCCTTGTGGTGTTCTCCGGTATAGTTTGAGTAGCCTGGGCACCTACTCCACTTGAGAAGGAGATATCTCAGATCATATTTCGCGCGGAGAAAAGTTGAAAGATGATGGAGGCATGTCTGGATAACTCAGGGTTTTTGAGAAGTTCCCCTGGGTGGGTATTCATGGATGAAGGTTGACTTGGGGTGAAGAAAAAGCCGCCATCACCTCGCAGTGGTACTTGCAAATGAAATCTGAGGCATGAGTGCTCTTCCTTAACGATGAATCATCTATTCTGTACTTTTCTTTGATATTGTGTAATAGCTAGATAGCTGCATACGCAATTAAAATCTGATGCAAAAAAAAAAAAAAAAAAAGGGAAGAGCTGTATAATTTTTTAGCGATCGGCAGATAGTAAGGTGATGGAAAGGATCTGGAGAGCGGGTTGGATTTGCATAAAACTGAGGGCGACAAGGAATCAAATTGTGCCCTTAGTTTAGGCCATGAAATACAGGACAAAAGTTATGTACCCTGTCGAAGTAGGCGCTAACAGGGGTCTGTCAACTGAAGCGAATATTCGCCCCACTAAAAACCACTGCACACTTGAAATCGTGGCTACAGGGTAGATCTACTTCACGGTAGCTAACCTGATCCGGCCCGGCCCCTCTCGTGCTTTTTTTCTTTTTTTTTTCTTTTGCATCAGATTTTAATTGCGTATGCAGCTATCTAGCTATTACACAATATCAAAGAAAAGTATAGAATAGATGATTCATCGTTAAGGAAGAGCACTCATGCCTCAGATTTCATTTGCAAGTACCACTGCGAGGTGATGGCGGCTTTTTCTTCACCCCAAGTCAACCTTCATCCATGAATACCCACCCAGGGGAACTTCTCAAAAACCCTGAGTTATCCAGACATGCCTCCATCATCTTTCAACTTTTCTCCGCGCGAAATATGATCTGAGATATCTCCTTCCCAAGTGGAGTAGGTGCCCAGGCTACTCAAACTATACCGGAGAACACCACAAGGAGCCGGACCACAACACCAGGAGCCGGACCACAACACCTTCCATCGTCTGCTTGTTTTTATAGTGTCAACTGCACTCTCGCAAGCGAAGTCTTGGCGCGCACAAAGCCCAATTCGAAAAACTCCTTGCCAAAGTTCGAAAATTCATGCCCGTCGAGACTGTATCCATTCTCTGCATCATCTCGTGAACTTGTCCTTATCCCTCTCACGTCCATCCCAAAGAACTGTCTTCCAGATTTGTGCGCCACGCTTTGTGTCCTTCGTCGAGTATAAATATCGGCGTGGGCGTGTATTTGGTGACCAGCTGAGGCCAGAGAAAGTCGACAAGAGGTGTGATCATTGAAATGAGGATGTACTAGGTCGTACTTGTAGACTTGATGAGGCTTGGATAGGATTCGGACTCATTGAGAGTGAAAAATTGACGTTTCGGAGTATTTTGAATAATTACCTCGTGGGCCAATTCTATGATATTGCGAAATTTGACTGAACCTGGCTCTGGGAGAATATTTTACTACCAGGTTCGCAGAGGACACCACGTTCATGTGTTCAGTCTGGACCTCCTATTTAGGACATGCAGGTCCTCTCTTCCTACAGGCCAAAGATACCTATGCCTCCCATACAGCCCCCCTTAAACAGCACTACCCCTCACAAGTCCTCGTTCGATTATACACTTAGAGGAGCCCTTTACCCGTCATCATCTTCCCTCTCAGGCCAACATAACGATGGCCATTTGCGGGTGTATGTTGACTCTTCTGAAGCCTTCGAAGAGGCTGGCCAGCTGGGCGCTGCAGACTTGTGTGTACCTCGGGAAATTCACCCTCTGCCTTTCTAGCCTCCTTCCAACTCCCTCTCGAAAGTCATACTGAAATGTCAGAAAAGTCTTGATAGAGCGTGATTGCTGTTTGGTAGCTTAGCCCAAATTCTTTTGTGCCGTCCAGGGCGCTGAGGAGTGCCGTTGACTCATCGACAAAAGAAGCACTCCTAGCTACTTAGGCAAAATCTCGGTCTCGGTGCCCACAAACATTCCAAAGTTGAAAACCACTCGAAAATATCGGTCTCAGCATGGTTTTCAGAGACCTGTTCCTCCTCTCGCTCCACATCCCAGCCGCCTGTTCTCCCTCAAGTTGTTTGTCCCATTAGAGCAACAGTCCCCCACAAGCCATGACTTAGGCTTTGTATTTTTCGACTTGATTCCTCCTTGCGGAGATAAATAGAGTCGTAATTATGTAGTGAGAGATGGCTGGAAATTAAAGGAGCAAGCTCCTGTTTGCAATTGGAGCAACTTCTTTATTGGTCGTTGAGGCGAGATGATGCGTAGTTAGAAGGTGGTTGAGAACTCAGATGAGAATGATAAGAGAGGCATTGTTGAGAAATTATCAAGGGGAGATATGCATGTGTTTGCTTTCGACTTCGATTCGGATGCGATTCTTCTTGGCTGTCCCAGATATGCAGGGCATACTGAGCGATTACACCGGCACCACTGGAAGGTGAAGAATTCGTTTTTGCCGGCTACTGTTAACGTTGAATGAGTATGTTTATTATCCTAATGAGTCTATGACTATGTTAGGACATGCGGGCCCTTTCTACTTCCAGGCTGGGAGTATCTATACCTCTAGTATTGTACACCCTCCTTTGCCCTCTTCACGACATCTTTCCAGCAGTAATATCCCCACAGGACTCCATTTAAGTACAAACGAAGAGGAGCCGTTATCCCGTGAGTAACTCCCCTATCTAGCCAGCGTTGCGGCGGCTATTTGCTGGTGTGTAGCTGCAGGGAAAAGTCTCAAAAACCACTGGGTGCGAGGCTCTCCTATGAAGGAGAGGCCTGCCGGGCGCAGCAGACCTCTGTAGACCGAGGAGCGTCTCTCAACCTTCCTTTCCTCCTCCTTATTCTCCTGAATAACGTCAAAAAGATTCTCTGCACTTTTGCTAAGATTGAGGGCAGTTATTGCCCTGTACCTTATAGTGACAGCCCGTTGCTGTAGCTGCAATTCACTTTATAAATCTTTATTCAGGCGAGTATACCGCAATAGATCATTGTGAGTCTTCATTGATTACTCAGAAGAGTGGACTTTATGGTTTCCATCTTCTCCTAATTATGCAGGAGGTTATGACAATTTACACATTTCTAATTTACTCCTGTATAACTACATCTGCAATTTGACTACCACTATTCATCCCCAAAAACATTACATGATCATCAATCGAAGTTAATTGTATCATATTGTTAGATTGCTTCTCAATTGTTTACGCAAGACCCAGCTCTTGGTAGAAGGCTTCTGTGCTCGGTTTACGACCGAGGAAGTCTACCAGCGTCTTCATCTCGTCTTGAGAGCCACCCTTCTCAAGAACCATATGTCGATACCGACGTCCTTCTTTCGGGTCCATGGGGTCTTTTTTAAATACACTATAGAACATGTCTGCGCTATATACTTGACTACTCAAGTACCCATAGTATCCTGCATCATATCCACCGATCAAATGGCCAAATGTGGCTTGACCGTGTCCCCAATCGCTCTTCTGGCCAAGAGCTTCGGGTCCCTTGATCCCTGAGATCTGAGCGCGAAGTTCATTGAACAACTCCGACAACTTAAATGCCTCAGCCTCCTCATGGTCTTTTGGGGTATGAATAGTCATATCGTATATACCAAAATGAAGTTGACGTAAGTTAAAAAGAGCATCATTAACATGCTTTACACTCATTTGCTTTTCAATTAAATCATCCGGAATTTTCTCGTTCGTTATATAGTGACTGCTAAGAGATTTTAGTTGTGATGGAGTCCAGCACCAATTCTCGAGCATCTGACTGGGTGCTTCAACAAAATCACGAACGACAGAAGTACCATGGAATCGCGAGTATCTGGTTCGCCCCGCTAAGTCATGGATGCCATGTCCCAATTCATGAAATAGTGTCACTACTTCATCATGTTTCAGCAGAGAAGGCTTTGTAGCGGTTGGCTTCGAAAAGTTACAGACTAGAGCTGTCGCAGGGTAACGTCGAGTGCCATTGGGATAAAGAAATCCAGGCTGTAATGAAAAGTTGGCAGCGTGACCGTATTTGCCTGGCCGTGGATGAAGATCTAGATAGCTTTATAGAATCATTATTGTCAGTTGTAATTCAAAAAAGGTATATCACCCTGACGTAATTAAGACTTACAGATAGCCAACAAACCCACTGCCTTCTCCCTCATCATCCCATACAGAAAAAATTTTGACGTCTTCATGCCATGTAATATCCTCAGCCCTACCAGTACCTACGGTAGAAAAATTTGTCAAATATGCAGGATATAATTGCGAGATACGTACTAGATATTTTTGCTCGGTCTTCACCCACCACCTCAATAAACACAAAGCCAAAGAGCTCTTCAAAAATCTTCAACATGCCTTCGATAGTGCTTTGAAGTGGGAAGTATTCTGCAATCTTCTGTTCATCGATAAAGAACTCCTTTTCGATCATCATTCGACTGTAAAATCTCGAATCCCAGAGATAAAAGTTACCGTCGAAGGTAGTTTCAAGTCCCCGTTGCGTAAGGTCTTCTTTTTTAATATCCAGAAGATGCTTCATTTCTTTAACGCCGCCAGCAGCTAATCTTGAGCGTAGATCACCTAAGAACTCATTTACAGTTGCAGGAGTTTTGGCCATCTTGTCTTCGATGCGAAAGGTCGCGTGATCTGGGTATCCTAATAGCCTTGCTGCTTCATCTCGAAGTACTATGGCTTCTTTGAAAAGTGGGATATTTTGGTTGCACTAATATATGTGAGCATAATTATGGGAGGGCTGAACGGACTGAAAACGTCCTACCTTATTCTCATTTTCAATTGTCACTCTTTTTCTGATCTCAGAGTCCAGAGCGAACTTAAGGGTAGGGAATAAATCTGGGTACTTGAATGTAAATCGAATCTTACCCTCATTTTCACCCGACCCCTTCTCAAAACCTTGCAGCACGTCTTCTGGGACTCCTTCCAGCTCTTTAGGGTTAAACCAAATTTCGCCATTTTCTTCATTTAAATTCTTCTGGAATTCTATCTCAATCAGACTTAGCCGTTTTTTTATTTCCTTGAAACGGTCTCGTTTTGGGCCCTTTTCTATGCCCAAACCATTACGTATGTAGCTCTTCCTTTCCTTTTCTAGCAGTCGCATACTTTCTGTGTCCAGTGCCTCGTTGCTAGGCTTTTTCATTTCCTTCTCATAAGCAGCATTGACGATACCAAAAATGTCTTCTCGCATCCCTGCTTCGATACTGAAATCTTCCATAATTTCTTCAGCCTTGCTTGAAGCGTCACGCAACTCTGAATTAGTGCTGACGGCTTGATAGAAGCCAATAATACGTGTTTCCAAACCTGCTAGATCTTCTTCCTCTGCCATAATTTTAACCGTGTTTGCAAAATTGGCATTGTCTACTGTTACATTCTCGACTATTTTATCCATTTGTAGTCGAGTCTTTTCACAGATTCGCTTTGAATCATTGATAAGAGAGGAAGCCGTAGCAGTGAAAAGCGGTGGTGCCTGTGGCGGCGTACGATATTGTTTGGGCGCCATGGAACTGGAGGATATGAGAGCTGTTTGAGAGGAGCTGAGATACCCAACAGGAATAATTTGATGAGATAGTCGACCTAGTCGTGCTCCAAATCGTCCGAATGAAGCCAGAATGAGAGCAAATGTTATGAAAACGATGCCTGCGAGCCAGAATTGTGCTCGCCAGGTATAACGGGACGCCAGTTCTGCGGTTGGCAATAGTGTATCCGAAGGCAATTGGTGCCTTTCTGATAAGGTTAAACTGTGTTTATGTCAGAATTCTTTTCCAATTCACTTCTGCAGTCAATGTTTCTTTTGCTAATGCTGCAGGTGCGGGATGGTGGGGATAATGATGTTCTGTACAATTGACCGCATGGGAGCATTAGTAGTTCGCTTCATGATGGATCGACTCCCGGCTCCAGCTCTAACACAAGGGTTGTCTATCTATGCTTACTCGCGGCATACATGAGTCCGCGCGATACTTGCTACCATACCCTCTTCAGCCATGAGCGTTCAGATCCATACCTATCATTGCCTGTGTACAGCACTCATTCTCGCCTCAACTCACAGCCTTTCTATGCTTCCTCGTCGATCTGTAGATAATGACGCAATTGATGCGGCTATCATCCTTCCTTTTCCCGAGATCTCACCGATGCCAAATGATCTCGACCTGAATCTTCCGCAGGAGGGATACTCGCTCTTACTAGGCTTAGACAAGGACTTAGACTCAATTAACGTGCGGAGAATCCGTGGGGTGGAGCGACGATTCCTCTACAGATGCTCAAAATGTCAGATGGTGATAGGTTACGAGTTAGTTCAAGAGAAAGACATTGATATGATTGATGGCAATGATGTTTACGGATCGAATATGGGAACTCAGCCAACTTATTGTGGAAAAATAATCTACATACTACCAGGTGGTCTAATGACGACTGAAGTGATGGTCGGCACCACAAATATTACCGTGGCACAGGTCCAAATTGGACCAACAGTGGCTGCTGCCCTCGAATAGTTGTTTAGTTAAAGGCGCCCCTGCCAGACCTAACATTTTAGGAATTTTGTGTTATAACATCATAGATGTGAGCCCAGCAAATTCATGAACTTCATAAGTTCTTCCATAAAGGTTAGTCTAAATATTTTTGCGCCAATTATCCGTCCAACGCCTCCCAGTACGTCGAACCACTATTATTCAGGTCCAGAATCCTTTTCCATTTATTATCGAGAGAAATTTATCAGATGCTTTGCCTACCATTATTTTGTTCAATGGCTAATTCGCGAGGATTGTGCGCACTAGGTCTTAGCATTTGTTAGGTGATGGCGTTAATGGAAGCGATATCAGGTTCTTCTTACCAGTGTAATTGATCTCTCCACTTGAAACGTTCACTGCTTTCAACAACTCATCGACTTCCTCGTCACTCATTTTCTCTCCCAGATTTGTCAGAATGTAGCGTAGTTGTCCAACACCAATAAAGCCTGTCATCTCCTTGTCGAAGACTTGAAAACCACGGCAATATTCTTCTGGCTCACCTGGCTCGCGGAAGCCGCCCGGTCTATTGAGTACCTTTGAAAAAGTTTCGAAGTCAACTGCGTCGTAGTGGTCAGCAAGTTAATGCTTCTTTCATTCAGATCTTGAAGCTGAGTACTCAGCGTCAAAGGTTACCAACAGTCTGAACCAACATTCTTTTCTAAATCCCTTATCTCTGCCAGGGTAGGATTTTGGCCACAAGCTCTTAATAAATCTCCTAAGCTTTCCACCTGTACGCGCTGGTTTCCACGTTTGTCAAATAAGGCGAAAGCCTCCTTGTAGTTTGTGCTGGCCTGTTGATCGTTAGTTCATTTTGGGTGATAAATATTACTATCCAAGTATGGTTGAGGACTTGACTCGAAGTTAATCGTGACTGCTTTGAGAAATATAGAGATCTACTTCGGGCAATCTGATGGATTTGTACTTTTAGATTTTACTAATAATTTATCTTTGGAACCGTTGGATTATTATCGATCTCTTACAAAAGAGACCATTGAGGTGATAACATGTTGCCATAGCCAACAATACATGCAACTTCCGGAAAATGAAAGGCTTACCATAATGATTTGGTAACTAACAAGATCTTACGGGTATATTTTGAGCCAAGTAGGAAATGATAATTTAATTATCGCTGAGATCGGAAATGACTCCTTCGTAATAGAATAGATAGGTTAGCAAGTAGTTTGGATGTGTGTTGCGGGTTGAAATGAAGTTAGGAATGGTTTGGCACGGCAACAAAGCTGTGGGTAACACCAGTGGCCAAATTGGTAGCCCTCGTATCAGGCTTGACAGCTTAGTCATCACGCTCCGTCTTCGGGCCAGATAAATAATTCAATTATCCTTACTCGGCGCCTTTAGGACCAAGCAGGTTTTTAGAGTGTGAGTGTTTATTGTCCCAAAAAGTCTATAACTATGTAAGGACATGTAGGTCCTTTTTGCCTACAGGCCGGGAGTATCTATGCCTCGGGTAGTGTACTCCCTCACGACTTCTTTCCAGCAGTAATACCCCCACAGGTCTTCACTCGAGTACACGCTAAAAGGAGCCGTTATCCCGTCATTATCTCACCTCTCCAGCTAACTAAACGATGGCCATTTTCGGGTGTGTAGTTGCTGGGAAAAATCTCAAAAACCACTGGGTGCGGGACTCTCCTATGACGAAGAGGCCGGCAATCCGGGCGCAGCACACCTGTATATACCCAAGAGCGTCTCTCAACCTTCCTAGCCTCCTCCTTACTTCTCCCCTGGTTCATGCCACAGGAAAATCCTAAGGTCATGAAAGGATATCAGCAAATTCTTGCCTAAGAGTGACTGTCATGAGGAGGTCTAGGCTAGCATCTAAAAGTCGTTACGGACGTGGGGTTGTCGAGTAACTCATGTATTTCAGATGCCCTCCTGGCTAGTAGATTCGGAGGTATAGATTGGTAGGGACGATATTTTTGACTAGTCGAAATCTGATTTTCTTGAGGGCGGAAGAGTCTTTTACTTTGCTTTCGTGGGCTTTTTGTTGGCCCGCCGGTGAGTAGCATATGTTGTAATATAACGAGGGCTTCTCTGACTACCGTTGTAGCGTTTCGTACTGCATTATCTTTCCTCATTCCCAGCATCATTATCATCGTCTTGGTCATCCTATGTGTTATCGGAAGCGTATCTTTGACGGAGGGAGAGATAACTTAGCTCAAAGTTGATAAGGTGTGACTCAATTTCGGCTCTGCAGACTCTACCGTGAGAGCTGGAGGTTCGTAGGTGACACCACTGACAGGTGTTGAGAATAGTCCCCCCAAGCAGGTTTTCCGGAGTATGTATTTCGCATTGAATGACTCGAGTTGACATTTGGAAAAGTCACAGTCAGATTTCATTTGCTAGTACCACTCGATATTAACCCTTACGGCGTAAAATTTCCTCTGTGCATACCCATCACAAGGAAAGGCAGGAAAACCCATGGTTCTTCGGGTGTGCTTTCGTTACCTCACAAGTACGATATCACCGCGAGAGAATGTGATGTGTGAATTCTTTTCGATTCGAACGAACTTTCTCCAGTCTTAATTGTGGTAGCTGTTCAAGATACCCGCAATCTACTCGCGAGAAACAGCCCGAAAAGTGTACTATTGCACTATTCAACCCTGGATCTTCAGGGGGGCTATTCCCAACGCCTGTCAGTGGTATACCTCACGAACCTCCAGCTCTCACTGTGTAGTCTGCAGAGCCGAAATTGAGTAACAAAGTCCTCACTTCGACGAGGATTCCCAATAGCTTGCGCGGTCTGTATCGTCTTCATCTCTCAACGTATCCCCCTATCACCATTATCAAGAAGCTAAGCACGATTAGATCAGATCAGATGATAGGGTCGGAGCCCTTCTCATCACCAACCCTTGATCATGGAGGAAAAGCCATCCGATGAGTTTCCGGAGCACAGCTGGCACCTGATACGCAAATAGTTGATTGGATCAAGTCGGCCTCGAATGTTACATTGAAGGGAGATATTGACGGACATGCGCACTTCGTGCAGTCCGGGTGTCTAGGCCTCACCTGGCTGGGGCTGCTGGTTTTTTGTGACTTTTTCTCGTGCACGCAGTTTTCATTGCCACCTCTCTTTTGGGTAGAAGGTTCCGTTGAAAAGGTGGCTGAATTCCGCGGTTAAACACTGAGCTGAATGGCTATTCATCACGGTGAATAAATCAATTATCTTGCAAATAAAAAAAGAGGATAGGAGCACTTTACAAGGTGTGACCTGGGTCTGAGAAGAGCGCGATGTGCTAAATAGTCTAAGACTCAAGTAGTACAGCAAACTTTTAAAAAATATCCTGGATATTCAAGCTAAGTACTTTAGTCATTGAGCAGCCCGCAATTGGAAAGCAAAGGGGAGTTGGAGTGATAAATCAAAGACCACAAAATTGACCTAGCCAGATTGCCAAACTCAACGTGAATAGGAAATGATAGGTAGCGGAACAATAGGTATTTGTAATGAGCCAATTTATTATCTCACAATAGAGCCGGATTACACAAAAGACTCCTTAGCTGGATGATCGTCCACATGTGGTTTATTCTATCACGTAATCATCCTATCAAGTATCACATATCCTGAACTTCAAAACAGAATGTGTACCTGGCATTGACTAAATTTCTTTTGTTTGCCGCGATAATACAACGATTCATACAACCTGCCAGCCAAAAATTTGACTAATTGTTCGCTATGCCTAAGTTGGCAACTGAAGATTGCGCTCGTTCCTTTTTTGAAGCCAAATACTTTGCCGTCGTCGGCGCCAGTAACGACACCGCTAAATTTGGCCACCAAGTATTGCATTGGTATGTGCGACATAGCTTCGCGGTGACTCCCATCAACCCAACGAAGCGACGGATTCTAGTTCCCTCACCATCGTCTGCCCATCAGATGCAGGCTTTGGACACACTGGCTAACCTGTCCGCTATACCAAACCCAGAGCAAACATCTGTAAGTATCGTAACTCCACCAAACGTGACACACAAAGTCTTGCAAGACGCAAGTCATCTCGGCTTTCACGGGGTCTGGCTGCAGCCAGGTACTTACGACGATGAAATCATAGAATATGCCCTCGAAAATTTTGGAATAGTAGTTGCTGGTGATGGGGGTATTCACGATCAAGGTTGGTGGTTAGTATCTCGTCCTCCTCGCCAAATAATAACTGATCCATCGACAGCGTGCTTGTGGACGGGGAACAATTTGTCTGAGTTAGTGTGCGAAACACTAGGAATAATTATTTAGGGTGTTCTTAACACTGGATGCTAAGTTCACATCTGGAGAGCTTTTGCCCTTTAAGTTATCACCAGGAAGCACACATCCAATGTCTAGCCGTTGAAAACATTATTTCTCGCTATAATTGTGACTATGTACACATCTTAAGTATCTAAGATCTTATCTGTTCGACAAGACTACATTACACAAAGAATTTATAGAACAACTAAAATCCTCGAATCCGCAGTACCCTTACATGAATTCTTTACACCTTTAAAGTTTATTGCAGAATACATGACAGGGCTAGATTTAAATTCTAGACCCGTTGTCATCCCTATTTTGAAGTATGTTAAATTCTCAAATTTAAAGGGTTAACTTAAGCTGAGAACGCATCACTAGTGCCAAAATGGGAACCTAGTAACCGGATAACTGTGTATGTGGATTATTTTCGAGGGTATATCCTGCCTTAGAAGTGATCAATACAGTCAAGTTTGGGTACAACCCAAATTTATATTGCACTTTTTTTCGAGGACTAGAAAGAACTTGCGTTTAAGTGTCAACTGAACTACATTTATTGCTTACAAGTATTGCATGTGTATATTTCAAGCTGAAAAATACAAGATAGGTATACTCGGACGCCTGTGGTAATTGGTATCATCATTGGTGGAGGTCATAGTTTCCAAAAATATCTGGCGTATTGAAGACGGTAGTATTATTTTCAGTACAACTTTGTACGATGAAACTGGTCGTATCTGAGCGTAATGGGAAAAAATGTTGAAAGTTAAAGATACAAGTCTGCGAGAACTCAGGGTGACAAGAATTTTTAGCAGCCTTCTTTCATGAAAGGCGTGGTATTATTTCCCATAATATGTGATTCTTAACTACATTTAATTGGCTCGTGGGATGATCTTTTCCAACGGAAAAAAAGGCTTTTAAGTGACCATACTTGTACACTTGCAACAAGATATGCCTCGGGCCAGACATGCTTCATAGAGGGATGTAAATATCTACAGGTATAAAGATATTCAACTGTTTGACATAAACCTAGATGGAACGGGAATGGTTTCTACCGTTCCGTAAAGACGTATACTTCAGACAAATTTTAGATCTGTCCAATTGAGTTATTTTTTAGATATTTCGTAAGCCTCGAAGTAGGATAATCATTTATGCACGCATCCTATTAGCAAGAAATCTGTTGAGAATAAATTCTCTGACTGTGTATCTTGCTAGGATAGATTTAGGACTCAAATCGTTTTCTTCCTCAATGCTCAACGGCCGAGGTATATCGACATAGCATAGAACAAGCGTCTTCTTAACTTGAGTGATGACCCGATTTATACAGCTCATCCATGCCCAACTACGATGTTGCTTGCGCTGGGAATACTCCTTGAGATAGTCCGTGCTGCTCCAGTAAGGATCACTGTATGAGGGTAGTATGAGAATAGCAAATTCTGCATGTGAGAAAACTGGGCCTCGGTTGTAGAGCATATAGTCTACTGAAAACTTAATTCCTGAACGTACAACCCAGCCGAGGGAACGAAAATGATGATAAACAACATAATTTACTAAAAAGGAATCATCTGGCGGTGTTACTTGGTTAGACTGCGGTGGAAAGTGCGACTCTTTTTGGCAGCGCTGGAACAATATCTTCGCTGGTATTGGTAGTTTTGTAGTAGGATCAAGAACCTGCAAGCATCCAAATGCGTAAGATAGAAAGAATGCCTCTTGAAGAGTAAGCTGAAAGTGCTCTTCATTTGCAATGGTATCAGAGATCTCTGCACACTCTGGGGGGTTTTCGACATTTTTACCTAATGACCCAGACAATTCGACCTCAATTTTGACTTCATTTTTTGCGATATCAGAAATCCTGGTATCTTGACTATTAGTAATGTACGTTGCAGAATTGCCATTGAAGTCGAAATGCGTAGGTAACTTAATAAGTTCGTCGTTTTGTTTAGGGGTTTCTAATACTTGGGCGGTGACGGGCACATTGGAACGGCATGTCCCCTCGAACCCTCTTTTGTCTCGATATTGTTGTTTTCCACATGAATCCCCATAGGCGTATTTCTCCTCGGAAGGGTTGATGTCCATAGGGGATGGTAATTGTTCCGAATCTAGCTGGGATGATGCATTTCTACCTCTTAGTGAGGCTTCAAAGCTATCACCCGACTTGTCAGGCAGTGGTGAAGTTGTGAGATCAGATCGCGAATTAGGGAGAGATAAAAATTCTAGAGGTCCGGTAGGTGGTAACGGACTCCTTGGAGCTATTTCTTCGTTGTTTGATTCGGACCTCAAGAGACAGAATAAGTCGTCATATGAATTGGGTAATGACAATATTTCCATTGGACCAACTGGTGACAGCACTCGCTGCGTAGGTACCAAATATTCGGTTTTAATTTCCAATCTATCTTGCGACTCTGTTCTATCGGATATTGTGCAATACTTTTGTTGTGAAGCTTCTGCTTCCTCTACCAGTTTTTGATCAATAGCCTGACGCTCCTTGCGAGCTCTATCCCACTTTAACATCTGGCGCTCAGCTCTTCTTTTTCTAGTATATTCTTCGCTAGTAACAGCACCTTTATTTTCCCTTCGCGCCTTTTCTCCATCGAGCCAATTTGGCTCACTCCTGCTCAGGCTCCCCTTCCCGTAAAACCCTTGTTCCCATAGACCTCGGATCGATCGATCATCAGTTACATGGACGGACCGCGTACAGGGTGAGAACCATCCTTGATAAGAAGGCTCTATCTTTGATTTGGAGGGAATTATAGTTTGGTATAACCATACATATATAATGTGTATCAAAGATAAAGGGTTGTGAGGCACGAGGTTAGGCAGAGGGAAGACGCGGAAAGGAGCTGGGAGGTTATACATGTTATTCAATTTTTGATAGTGAGTCAATGGTCGAGTCTTTTGCTGTGAATCTACTTCCATTGCTACTGATTAGGGCAGCTGTTTGATGCTGTTACGTTCGAAGATAGATTTGTTATAAGGTCTAGCCCTGCATCCAACTATATTTGCGCGTTAGAATGAGAATTCCTGTCTACAAAATTGGATTTCAATTAATTTTAATATGCTCAGATACCGTTGTAGTCTTCTTATGATAAGAATTGAGAGGTCATTGAGGAGAAACATAAAGTCAGAGTTTCCCTCTATTCATCAATTGGTTTCATCGTGGCAAAGTGATGTAAGATTTAGAGTTTGAAGAGAAAGCTTAACTAACCGTTATAAATTCTTATATGCGTTTACCAGATTGTGGCTCCAATAGAATGATAGTTTCCTTGCGAACGGATTTAAATAAATAATGATTGTTGAGTGATGCGAGAAGAGATCCAGTTATTTATACACTTGATAATTATGCCTGAGGAAGATCCCATGCTAGGCAGACATGGTCCACTCTCTGAAAACAATTTGTTGCTTTTCGGTAATATTTACAGCCTCAGGCAGCGAATCGGAGCGACTTGTCCCGGGATACTCGTGATTATATCCCAAAGTTCTGTCACAGTCGGGTAACGTCCCAACCTTGTGGCAAAGGTAGCCTATGCTTTGGCGGCGTGTTTTCCTCCAAACCTCTTATAATGCTCCCCATATCAATTAATACTCTTCAGTAGTCTTCACTCAGTCTTAAATTTAGAGGATATTGAAATGTCTTACCCACTACTTAGTTCATGGACTTATTGGTAGAGGGAAGCTTATGCAATAATGAAGGATAAAAGGATATCAAATCGACTACTATTTTCAACACCTGTTGGTGATGTCCCCTACGAACCTCCAGCTCTCACTGTAGAGTCTGCAGAGCTGAGATTGAGGAACAAAGTCCTCACTTCCATGAGGATTTCCAATCGCTTTCGCGGTCTGTATCGTCTTCATCTCTCAATACAACCCCCTTTCACCATTATCATGAAGCTAACCACGATCAGATCAGATGGTAGAGTCGAAGCCCTTTTCCTCACCAATACTTGATCAAGGTCGCTGAATTCCATAGGTAGACACTGAGCTGAATGACTGTTTATCACAGGCAGTATATAAATAATCTTTCAAATAACAAAAGAGGATAAGAGTACTGTACAAGGTGTCGCCTGACTACTTTTACTACTGCCACTTCGGGCAGTCTCAGACACAGAATTGCATTTCTAGTATATCTTGGGCTCTTGCTTCAGCGGAGGGAGTTCATGCATCTATTAGCTGAGTTCGTGTCACAAATTCCTTCGAAAGGGTACAACAACAAGTCTGATTCAACAGAGTCATGAATTGATGTAACCTATTTAGTCATTTATTTTTTTGATGTAAAAATGCCTTCTTCATTTAATACCATCTGCACATCGTGAAATTCGTTCGCAGGGCGACATCCATGTATAGCATAATCTTAAAGAGCAGGTTGAGAAGATCCTGGCTTTCATTTGCCTGGTTCGTTCTAAGTAGGCGCCAATACACCGGGTAGTTTAATTTAGACTGGGCTAGCCGGTACATGAGAAGCTCACATGCTGTGCTGTCATGATTGCAATATAATATGGACATGTACACTTGCACTGGAACAGCTAAGATAGTTCATGGAGAGATATCTCAACTGATATGCAGAAGGGTAGTCACTATGATGATTTTAATAATATAGTTTTGGGTTGGATGGTGTAGTGGTACACCATTCAGACCGTTCTCCCAAGCAGATACTGGGTAGCTTGATCAACTACCCTATTTGAGACGGGAGAAAGCTGGTTCGAATCTAGCCAGACCCACACACCACTCTCTCTCTCGCGGTGATATTGTACTTGTGGGAAGATGAAAGCACATTCGGATAGCTACAGGGTTTTCACGCTTTTCCCTGTGGTGAATATGCACGGAAGAGGTTATACGCCGTAAGGGCTAACCTCGAGTGGTATCTGCGAATGAAATCTGTCTATGAGCGTTCTAAATTTCAGATTGGGTCATCCTACTTTAAGTACACATCTTCCGATAAAACCTGCATGGGCCTCATGACGACACATCAGGATAATGAATAATATATATATATATATATATATATATATATATATATGTTGATTTGTATTTATTATCCTGATTTGGCGCCCTGTGGGCCCGTGCAGATGGTTATAAACCTATCTATATATTTACATGGGAGGAAACCTCTCGGTAAAAACCTCCCCAGCTTCCTGATTTGTATCTTTGAAACTTGCAATTTATCCTTCAGGAAGCACAGTTACATTGTAGTGCCGTCTGTATGTACCAATCACGTCCGCTGTAACGACCCCAACCTTGTGCCAGTCCTGCCTCGTTCCCTTATCAGAATTTCGACTGCATTTGTCATGCGGAATTGATCTATCCAACCATGACTAAGAGTCCATTGCGTAATTCTTTTAATATCACCAGGATTGTCTATCATTGCTTCGTAGGACCGGTCTTTGGCTTGTCTCCAGATCTCACCCCTACCGCTTGACCACTTAGGGCAGGATGTGATCATATGCTTGGGATTTTGTGATTGGTAGCCTCACGGGCAGCATGGATCGTAGACTCCTGGTGCTTTTCTCCTATGCAAATACGAATTGAGCCCGATATGCTCGCTTCGAATTTGGATTGCTAAGCTACTTTGGGCCCTTGTCAGGTTTTTATGGAGAGTATGAGGAGTATTCTAGAAACTTATTCTTTGACGTCCAGTATGTCGGCATTGATAGAACTTAGCTGCTTTCCAAGTTTTAGGATCTGCTATAGCAACTTTTTGGGACTGTCGACTTCGCTTAGGGGTAGACCAAGATTTCGCCCATTCTAGGTATGCTGCAATATTTAGCGCCTCTTTCTGTAATTCTTCAGATTTCTCCTCTCCGCCCATATATATATATATATTTATTGTTAGAATTTGGAATAATTGGGTCTATCAAGTAGGCCACGTTTTTGATACACACGTGACAGCAAATTCTCTACTTAGTTTCACTTCGGTAGTTATTTTGACTCAATGCGCTCTACAACCACAATAACTGAGGAATCAGAGGGTAAGACTGAACATCTATTCGCGGTGTCCTCTACGAACCTGGGAGTGAAATATTCTCCCAGAGCCAGGTTCAGTCAAATTTCTCAATATCAAAGTAGTTGGCCCACGAGGCGATGATTCAAAATTACTCAACCACGTCGATTTTTCGCTCCCGACGAATTTGACGCCTGCCTAAGTCTCATCAAGTCTACAAGTACGACCTAGTACATCCTCATTTCAATGATCATACCTCTTGTCGACTTTCTCTGGCCTCAGCTGGTCACCAAATACACGCCCACGCCGATATTTATACTCGACGAAGGACACAAAGCGTGGCGCACAAATCTGGAAGACAGTTCTTTGAGATGGACGTGAGAGGGATCAGGACAAGATTACAAGATGATGCGAAGGAAGGATATAACCTCGAGGGGCGTGAGATTCCGAGTTTTGGCAAGGAGTTTCACGAATTAGGCTTTGTGCGCGCCAAAACTTGGCTTGCAAGAGTGCAGCTGAAACTATAAATACAAGCAGACGATGGAAGGTGTTGTGGTCCGCCTCCTGGTGGTGTTCTCCGGTATAGTTTGAGTAGCCTGGGCACCTACTCCACTTGGGAAGGAGACATCTCAGATCACATTTGGCGCGGAGGAAAGTTGAAAGATGATGTAGGCATGTCTGGATAACTCAGGGTTTTTGAGACGTTCCCCTGGGTGGGTATTCATGGATGAAGGTTGACTGGGGGTGAAGAAAAAGCCGCCATAACTTCGCAGTGGTACTTGCAAATGAAATCCGAGGCGTGAATGCTCTTCTTGTAAATTGAATCATCTTTTCTGTACTTTTCTTTGATATTGTGTAATAGCTAGATAGCTGCATACGCAATCAAAATCGGATGCCAAAAAAACCCCTCCCATCTCTAATACTGCACAATTCGAGGATTTCAAAAATTCCCTTTTTCCTATTTTCCACTCCTCCCAGTGTCGTCGCATACATTACTGAATTGTGATCGAGCTTATGCACTTTTATCATGCCTCCAGTGCGTAAAAAACGTCCAAACGTCTCGTTGGACAATACGAGAGTCCACCCGAGGGCTCTCGAAAAACTACCTGGCCTTGCCCAGTCTTCGAAATGCGCGGAGATGAGCAAGGTCTCAACAAATGGGAAGGAAAAAGCCCTCCCCGCCGTCACTGAGCCCGATACTGACGTGATCGGGTCAGTTGAAACTTTTTGAGGAAATTCCTCAACCATCCTCCCTCCCCCACGGGATTAGAGAATCTTCAAAATCTCCTCCGACCGTGTCCAAACTGTCGGAAAACGCTGCAAAAAAAGCAGCTCCAACCAGATAGTCGTAGCCTCAAGCTGCCACTAAAACCGAATGACCGCCGGAACTACGACCAATTGTCGAAGCCAAGCAACGACGCGCCGCCGAAACAGCAGCAAACCTGGCCCTATGCTCCGCCGCCATCTCTGGCGTCGAAGCAACCTTTCTCCCTTTCACCAACGGGCCGAATAGACGATTCGTAGACTCGATGAGAGTCTACCTTCGCGCCGCCATTGCGCAACACATGGCCACGGGCCCGGCCTCCACGCCACCCGTCCTCCCTCCTCGCCCGGCGAATCTAATCCCAAGGGTTCCTGACGCCAGTAGTACAACATCTCCTGCCGCTCCAGTGCTACCCGTAAAAAGCACCTGGGCTACGGTGGCAAAAAAGGACAGCGACAGAAAGCAGTCTAAACTATAAAGGCTGTGCCGCAACCTGCGGCAAAGGGCCCAAAGAAAGATGCCCCGAAGGCGAAACTCGAATAACGACTATTCACTCGCCTCGGTAGCGACTGCCCTTGGGGGAAATTGTCTCCCCAGAGTGCACGAGCTGCAATCCAGGTGCAAACCGGTTGAAGTCTTTGTATGGCTAACTCTATACACAGAGTCAGGACTAGTTTCGCAATCGCTACAACCGATGAAGAATCGAGACAGAAAATC